ACATACGAGCATCCAGGCATATCAATGGAGGCCAGAACTGCTCGATACGAGCATCCAGGGATCAAAGGAGGCCAGAACTGCTCGAATAGAAAACAGAGACTCCGAGAATAGTTATTTCGGAGTCAAGGAAAGTCCGATGTATGCAGCAGGAACGACAGATTGAATTAATGTAAGTAAAAATATAATTTTATGACCTAGACTGCAAAACATTTTAATTGAAACTTTAAACACGTCTTTCTCAGAACTATCTTTTTGAATTTGATACCCTCGATTTTTCAGATTCTGCTCAACCGAGTTACTTGAAATTTAAAGAGAGTCGGTTTTAGGTACGTGGCTATGCCCGGAACTACGGCCATCCCAAATGTTTAGCTTTAGTATTTTTAGAAAATTGAAGAATGTTCAAAATGTGATGTAAAATTTTTTTCTTTAGACCGTCACCATTTTAAAAAAAATATTTCTGTAACTTTTCCGTAGTTCCAGACATAGCGTCATTATCGAAGATTGATATATTTTTTATTTATTGATTTCCGATTGCTTGGAGAGTTAAAATCGTGGGTATGTTCACGCACCACATTTTTGAGGCAGCCCACTCCATCAGCTGATAACTAACGGAATTTTAATTTTTTAATTTTTTTGTGTGCTTCGAATGTGAATAAATAATGTATAAAAAATTTTTAATACAAATATTGCTTGCTTTTTTACAGCTTTTCAATAATGCCATAAGATTCATGTCTCTAGAGCAGAATACCCCCTTAAGCTCCCTACTGAATAAACGTGTTCCGTGCTATAAGTCTATTTCCTCTATAGCTAGGTTTGGGAGTCTAGCCAGATGTAGTAGAATCTGCCACAGAGATTTTTGTGTCATTCAGGCTTTACTAGTGTAGCAATCCGCTACAAGGAAAATCGAATAAAACGTAAAGCAATTGATTGAGTAGTGCAATATAATTTTATATAATAAATTTTTTCATATCGTAATTGAGAAATTAGATCAATAGTAATGAGAAAGTGACTGCAATTCTGCATGAAATCCATTTCTGCCAGTTCTATTGCATTCCAATTATCAGGGTAAGCTATAAGAGAGAATTTGCTATCAATCTTTCTTTGTTGCCTCTCATGCGTTGCTCATTTTGCAACTGCAAATATTAGATCAGCGCTTATTTTATGTAGAATTGTCTTTTGAACTCTCTCCAAAGATGGCCTAGCAATGATCAAGACGTTTGGACAGATCGAAAATTACAATATACAAATGTTGAATAAATAAATGGTTTATGAAACAAATTCTTGAGTTACTTCTTGACAAAGATTTAGTTTACGGCAGAGAATAAGGTTTTATGGACGACATAAAAATGACTTGCAAATAATCCGTTTAATAGCTCAAAGTTTAATTATTTCAACAGTGATTTCTCAATTACTGTAATTATTGGAGATGTAGTGAGTAATTGAAAAATAGACAATGCAAAATTGACGGCGACAGCAAATCGTGTAACCTGCTTGTAAATATGCATCCGGTTATGCTGAGCATAAAATAATAATAAAAGATGACTCATTTTTGAACGAGTGGAAATTAATTTTATTTGAATTGCATCATTGATTTAATTATTGTTAACTAAGTGGAGCAATTAATCACTTAATACGAACAATAATTTTATGTTTTTATCTACGATAAAATAAACTTTTAAAGTAACTAAAATATATTTTTCTCAATTCATCGTCACAGCACAGCCATACACGCATGTCCGGAGGGTCTCTAAAAGTCTGCTTATGTTAATATTACTTTTTAGAGTTTGTTTATCTTCACATCGCTTTACATAGTTTTAATTTAAAATATTTTAAATATTATTATAGAAAAAATGATATTTGAATTACAATATCTCAAGCAACGCACTTGTTGTTATAGAAGAGTATGCATATTCTATTTTAACATGAAAAATGGAATTAATTAATGGAAAATTATTGTTATACAACTAATGAAACCCATTTTGGCATTCTACTATATCAATGGGTGGGTCCTAAACGTTCAGATATATTTAACTTCAAAGAAAATAATAAAGAAATAAATTGTGCATTTAGGGGGGGTGAATTCAAGTTGAACTTGTTCCGTGTTTTCCGTTTGGTCTACTGCAGATTAAACAAAAAAAGAATTACGTTAATGACATCATTGTAATTCATTCATTTTAATTTCACTTTATTTCCCACAAGTTGTAGGCATCTTCCCATATTTAAGCAAAGTCTTTCTACTCCAAGTACATCCCAATAAACTCTCCTGGTACAAACGGACCTTGGAGAGATTGATTGCAAGTTAGTTAAAGCTGTTATTTGATCCTTTCACAGAAAAGGAAATATTGACAACTTTGTTTCCTATTTCAAATATTGCAAACAGAAACGACGTTACCGGCATTAAGTGACCAGAAATGCGTATAAAATGCTATTGAGTATTGAATAAAAAGAATGCTATTTATCTTTCAGAATAAGCGAAAACGAAGATGCTCTTCTAAACTAGTTCAGCAGGCTTGAATTCACACATTGGGTCATTCAGTAGACAGAAATCCCTATTTTAGACTCTTCAGCATCAATTAAAACATGGGTGCTATATTCGTTTTCTAAAAAAAGTTAGTGCAAAATGCAAATTTCAACCAGATTGGATATAACAGACACCACTTCCTTTGAACTGGATATGTGCGATGGACGTACCTCTACGTGGTACACCAAGGCAACGTATACACTTACGGCAAAAAGTCTATAGACTGGCAGTTGATTTCTGCCTTCAAACTACCATGACCCCACTGTATGCCCTATTTGACCACTTCCACAGAAGGCATCTTAACTTTTAGATCTAGAAGTTTTCGTTTTGATGCTCCGTTTTCTCTCTGTAAAGCCTGAAGTCAGCTTAAGGGCCAACTATCCTTTAAACTAATTGATCTGTGCTTATCAAATGTCATAAGTTTTTTAAATGCCGTCAATGTGACAGTGGCTGTTCTATCAATTTGAGTAAGTCAAGTTCTGATCAAACTATTTCAATTAAGAAACTTTTCAGCATTTCATTTCATTGAGACTCAATGCGCGCTATTTACAACATTAATGTGTTCAGACCGAAATGTAGCAAAGTTGACGATGTGAATTCATTCATAATGAAAAATAAATTTTAGATTGAGTCCACATTGCGTTGCTGTCGACACCGGCTGTTAATCTTTCAATACCTGAATTTCAAATGCTTGTTTAAAATTTGTACTGTGCTTTTGTGCCATTACATCTCGAAAGATTAAAAAAATGGAATATTGCGCTAACAACAAGAGAAGCAGATAGCAAAACGTATTCTTAACACCAATAACTTCAGCTTTGCGCTCAGGTAAGTTTAAAATAAATTATAAATAAAATATGAGTGTTACTAATAAAATATAGTAGAACTGGTGTGTTGAGTGTACAATTATGAAAATTTTGGCAGCTGTGAACTCAAATGCGAATAATTCGAATCAGGCAATCATTCACGTGACATTAGTGGGGTATTTGCGTAAATTACGATAGATACATAGGTAATGGCGTAGATCTGGAAATTTGCAGAATTTGCTTAGCAAATTCAACATAAACACTAAATTTCAATGCATTAATCTTAACACATTTTGCCTAACTGCAGAGTGGCTGTTTATTAAGGT